TCACTCCCCCCTCCCCCCACTCTCTCTCAAGCTTTCGCAGGGATGACATCCCAGTTACAGTCATTCTCTGGGTCCCTGTCACTATCGTCTGTCTTGCCCTCTCCTTTCCTTCAGCTCTTGGTTTTTTTCCCACCCCCACCCCCACCCCCACCCCCCAACACTGGCAACTGGCTTTCTCAGAACTTGTTGTCTGGCCTATAATTGCCCAAATTCAGTCTCTGAATGACCTTTTTGCTCTGAAGCCTGTGGCCATCTGGCGGTAATCTCCCTGTGTACAGGATTCTGAGTTCCCCAGAGAGGGTCTGGTTGGCTCCTTTTGCCTTCCTGAGCCTGCCGCATCGTTCCTGGGCTGCTGGCCAGCCTAGGAATAGGTCCCCTCAGGTCACACACAACCCAAGGCTCGTCACCAGTGGCGGGGGTACAGAGACAGGAGTTACCAGATACACGTAGGACAAGAACCACATCCTGGAACCCTTCAAATTAACTTATACCAGGTGAGTGATACTGACTCAAGCTACAAATGGGAAGTCATGGTTCATGACCTCTCCGTCATCGCTCTGTGCTAATGCAAGGGTGTGAGTAGTGAATTCAGCATCTTGCAGCCACGCTGAACGTGGCATGGAATTGCACTTTCAGTCCCAGTGTTTGTTTCATTCCTACTTTACGGTGGCAGGGATCGGCTTGCTTGGTTGTGAACAAAGTTATCCTGGTACATAAAATGGAAAATGTGGACTGTGCTGTTTTCCCAGTCCTGAAGACTTTGGATACCTCATTTGGAAGAGGTTTCCCTCAAAGGTGAGAGTCCTGTGTCGTGTCACCAGGGCAGCGAATGCCAGAGGGCAGATTGTGAACCGTCTCATCCCGAGCCCGCCTCCCCCACTCCCTGCACGCTGCAGCTGCTGGTGCCATCTCCCTGCGTTCCTTGTGGTCTTAAGTCACAAAACCAGCTGTTATTAGGTTTGCCTGAAGCGTCCGAAACAGGCTTAGAATGGGAAAACCTTGTCCCACTTTTATACAATTGGAAAACATTATAGAACTTGAGTCTCGCAAATTTCCAAAAACAACCACCCACAAAATCTAGCTTGTACGATTTAGTCACACAGAAACATGAAGAAGTAGAAAGAGTGAACTTGCTTCCGCTTGGCAGGCGGTTTCGATTTAGAAAACATGCCTCAACATTCAGTGCCTACAAATACAGGAAAGGGGTCTGGTTTTGCTTCCATTAAAAGTACCACTCCCCGAATGTTTCAGGGCTCATCAAAATTTACATTTTAGTCTCTCTTTCAACTTTTGTCTACCTGGATATTCTCATTATTTCTCCAGCTGTGGGAAACTCTCATCTTCCCATGATCCGAATTAGGTGGGATCCAGTTCCGACAACATGAGTTAATCATCACTAGAAATGCTGGCAAGAGCCAGGGATGTTTGTGTTCCTCGGGGACAGCTTAGCATCTCTGGATAAATAGTCCGGTCCAACCAACTGCCTCCTCTTGGTTTTCCTTCCCCAAACTTCCTCTCTATAAGTAGGATTAGCCAAAAGCAACTGTTGGGTCCCTCATAATTCACAAAGCAAAGATGATACTTCAAAACAGTTAGCCGTGAGCTGTCGTTGGTATTCAGTAATGTGTTTTCATATAATGTGTTTCTTCCTGCAAAATTGTACAGCAGCCATATGACTATTTTTGCCCTCAAAATCCAGCCAAATTACTTTAAAAAGAAATTTTAGTAGTTGGATTGCCAAATTCCTGTGATCTCTGTATTAAGGACTCCTGTCTCTGTGGCCTCTAGCTCGCAGGAGAGATTCTGTTCTGTGACACAGGTTATTACACAAATGAAAAGAGAAACGTCTTCTGCTTGTGTCTCCTCTTTAGAATAAGAAGATCTACTTGGACATTATTCACACGTACATGGAAGTGCATGCGACTGTTTACGGCTCCAGCACGAAGAATATTCCCAGTTATGTAAAAAACCACGGTATCCTCAGTGGACGGGACCTGCAGTTTCTTCTCCGAGAAACCAAGGTAAGTTTTTAGTAGTTTTATAAAAATTCACCAGGGATGTGGTTTATAGTTTGTTTCCATTGTCCTTGAAAATGGAATCAGAATCTTTTATGCTTTCTTTTCAACGCATAAGAGCTCTTTAGAACGTTTTGGGGCGGTGGTTTGCTAGACCAATGGTAGCTGAAAAGATAACGAATTGTGGAAGGAAACTGCTACAGTTTTGTTCATTGATTTAGTCAAAAGACGTATTTACTGAGGACCTAGTTTGCACGAGGCATCAAGCAAGGTCTGGGGATAAGGCCATAAATGGGAAAGGTAAGGCCCTGCCTCAAAGGACAAACCTTCTGATAGGGCAGCAGCTTGCGCAGTAGCCAAAGGTACCAAACACAATGCCCAACCCCTACCCAATTATCACTGTCTGAGCATTTGCTTCCCTAACCAGCTTTTCCTCGCACCTCCCCCTTCAACAGGTACGTGTTGGACACTGAGGAAGTTCAGATGAGGGAAAAGTCCCTGCAGGCTCAGAGAACAGGGATGTATTAGGAGGGATGCAGAAGATGAAAGGTGGGTGGGGTGTGGATGCACCTTGCTTTCGGCCCAGACAGGACTCAGAATCAGGTGGCGCAGGAGCCTGTGACCTACTCAGGAGAGAGCTAGAAACCAACCTGGCTAGTCTGTGTCTTGGAAAATAGTGGGAGATAAAATTGGATAAGGGGTTGAGAGTCTGATTGTCACAGACAAGGCAGAGTTCAGACCGTGTGGTGTGGGCAGCTGGCAAGACGTGGAGGGTTGATTTGCTCAGCGGTAGCATGATGACATGGGGAAGTCCACTCAGCGGTCTGTGTCCTTTCTGTAATCCTGCCGTGGAAGTACCAAATGAAGTTCAAGGACCTGTGAATAAACCAGAGTCTGACCTTGAAGCCTTGGCTGGCACTTTATTTAGATAAGCTCCCTCATGTTTATTAATAACATTCTTATTTATGAATCTTACAAATTTTATTGAGCAGCTACTATGTGCCAGGTATCATGCAAGGGATATGAGAGAAAGCGGCACATGGGTCCTTCCCTTGGTGTTTCCTAAAGCGTAGGGGAGCGTGTTTCCAACAGTGGGTTTCTCAGCTCACTGTTTCTCAGCTCTGGTTTCTGGTCCACTGTTTTCATGTCCAAGCTAGCGAGAGAGGTCAAGCAGATCGACTTCTGTGGTATAATAGTGATTGCGAGTCATCGTGCAGTACTTCACTTTTACAAAGTGTATTCACATACGCTGTCCTCTGATTCTCACAACAGCCTTAAGAGGTAGACAGGGCAGGGCTTATTGCTCACTTTATTTTAGACATGAGGAGATAGGCTAGAGAGTTTGGCTTACCCACGCTAAACTGGGGTCAAGTCTTGGAAAAGCCCTAACTTAGGGATTTTTTAATAGCAAATTTAAGCTCTGCTGGGCCCCCAGTGTACCCTACTCCCGAACACTCAAACTTAAGAGCACTTAGTGGGTATTCACCAGCCAAAAGAATATCGGTCTCCCCTTTGCCTCAGTTTCTCCATCTGTCAATGTATTTGATCTTTTCTACCTCCAAGTCATTTGTGGGATGCTATGAATAAAATAGTTGGACACATTCTTTAGCTCCTTGGCCAAAGACCTGGCTTGTGTTAATTAAGATTTAATTTCCTTCCAAGGTCATCTGTGGTCTGATAACCGTGTGTGGCTCTTCCGGAGTGAAGTGTGTCCCCAGTTTTCACGGTCTGCTTTCTGTCACCTTCCGTCTTAGGTGGATATTTTAGAATCGTCAGAATGTCCAGGCCCTTTCATGGCAAAGCTGTTTTTGCCATTTGCCTCATTTTACTTTCCTCCACTTTGGAGCATGGAAAAAGCTCAAGTTCGTTTAAAATAACATTTGGCAGAGCTGGTTCTCAGCAGCGTGTCATTTCTGTCTCGCACGCTTCTATTAACCCAACCTTGTGAATGTCTTGCTCAGCCCTGAAAATTTTAAAAGAACCCTTCCTTACCTACCGTGCATCTCCCCTGTCAGAGACTAGGAAATAGGCTGAAACCGAGATCCCTCCTGTCCAGGGGAGGACAAGAAAACAGGCCCAGAAGGCCCAGGCCATGATATCAGAGTTTGCCTGATAACCAAGGATCGCAGCTGGAACTTTGAGTACGAGGGGCATATACATTCATCCTTGAAAAGCTGGTGCCTTCAGAGGATGTCACTGATCCCATTACGGATTGCCTGTTTACCTGACGAGAATATATTAAACTACTCCGCATGGAATTATGGCTCAAACAGTTGGCAAATATGATGAGGATGAGGTAGCAGATCGCTCAGACTCCCCATGTGCACAGAACACAGCAGCAGGCACTAAAATGAATGAACCTTGGGCTTTGAAATAATGACACAAAAGACCAGCCAGGTTTTGCATTTATAACCCTTCCTGCCTCTTGCTCCTTCCTCTGTGTCTCTGAGCAATTTAAAAGCGATTTATTCCGATCCGCGTTGGAAGCGGAGCACGGGAGCTGCCGGGAAGCTAACGTCTACAGAATGAATGGGGTCCACACGCCCCTCGGACTTGTTACCGGCCGGAGAAGCAAGTCTGGTCTCCTCGAGAGGTTTAGAGACAGAGCGAGATGATTGATGCCTAATCAGCTCTGACTCATTATTTTTCCTTACGAGCCATCTTTGAATCTCTGCGCCAAGCCCAGGAAACCCTCTGCTCAGCAGAATTTTGTCCTGGCATGCCATTAACGCGCAGGCGTCATTAGCAGACTCTTGCTTCAGGGGGCCTGTGAAGACGAAAGGAATTCAGTGTCACACTAATATCGAGGCCAAAAAAGCTGCAAAGTTGTTGGAATGTAGAAGAAGACCCTTCTAACGGGGGTATAAATTTGGACGAATGAATGATTTATCAGAGGACCACGGAGGAGTCATTCAGTCCAGCGAGCTCTAGGAGTGCAATTTTAGCCAGCAAATGAGGACTCGCTAGGGTGGCATGTTTTTATTTTTGGCTTAAATCTCCTTCTCTTTTAATGTCGTTTCTATTTTCACCTTCCTAGTTTTAAGCTCTTCCTGTCCCCCTCGCCCCAGTCTTCCTTTAGGAAGCTCCTTATTTCGTTGACCACCTCGCTTAGCACACACGTGTCCAACACTGGGATAGGGGAGTGTCCGGAGCTCACCAGAGTGATTTGTGAGCCGGGCCAGGTACCTCTCTTTGTATACTCGAAAGCAAATTCTGACTGTGGGAAACCAGGGGAAACTGCTGCTGCCCTTTTTCTCCTAAACATCCTGCCACTGCCCCTCCAAGACTCTGGTGGGTCGAGACCATCCTGTTTCCCCACCATGTCAGCTCATGAGCTTACCTGTGGGACTCACCAAGAAGCCTGGACAGACTTGGCAGATGCGCAGTATGTGCTGCCCCTACCTGTCCCATCTTCACATCTGACCACATTCCCCCCGCCCCCACCCCCACCCTGTCCCTAATCAACTGTGGCTCTTCCCCCTGGACTTGGATGTGGTTGCAAAAGCTCTCTCAAAAGCCCCAGGCTTGAGGCCGTCACCACTGCCTGCAGCTCCACGAGGACAGAGAGGCTTTTCTTATCCTGTGTGCAGGTACGTTCCCAGTGCCTGGAACGGCGCCTGGCTTATAGAAGGCATTTAGATAAGTATATAAAGAATGAAGGAAACCTGCTGGCCATCTGGGATCTTTGGAATGTCTTCCTGTTCTCATGAGACATGAATCTAGATCTCCAAGATCCCCCCAGCAAGGGACATGCCCTTCTGATACCCCATGCCAGCCCCTCTGTGACATTGCCCATGGTGCCAGGTCCTGTAGGTGACAGGCCAAGAGCTTGCTTCCTTAGAGGGAGCCGCCCACCTTCTCTTGCAGATGCTGGTTCCTGTTGGCCCGCAGGCAGCCATTTCAAGCGGGTTTCATCCTGGTGAGCAGTACCTTAAACCATTCCCATGCCATATATGTGGGGGGGCACATGGCACTCACACACGTGTGCCTTTGTCCCTCCCCTCCCCATGTATGTGTGTAGAGTGAAGAGTGTACAGAGGTGTGACTCAGTAACCCCTCTGACTGCTAGAGCAAAAGCGTATCCCCACACAAACATGTTCAGCCTCCGCACTCAGAGACGCTGATTGCTGAGAAGATCTAGCTAATATTTATTCTTTTGCTCATTTATCCAAGAAATACATCTTAAGTACTACATATATCCTAGGCCTTAGTCTAGCCATTCTGGATACTGGGGTGACTCGGGCAGTTTTTCCCACAAGGAGCATACAGGTGTGCTAGAGGAGGTAGGCAAGGCAACTGTAACAATATGAGAAGTATGCAGGTAGAACTACTAATGATACAAAATAATGATACTGACATAAAACATCATCTTGATGCTATAAGTGAGGCCAATGAGTCAGCCATGTAAAATGTGATACTGTGACTTGTGAAATTAATGAAATGGCTGGGATAGTCCCACTGTGGGGGACAGGAGCCGTTGCCAGTCACGGTTTGACACATCTGTGCTGTTGTGGTACACTTGCCTGTGGGGTTTACTGTAACAACCACAGCCATTATCTCTGCCCTTTACCCTGTGCTAAGCCTTTCCTGTGAATTCTCTCTTCGTTACAAAAATCCTATGATCCTGGTACTGTTATAACCCCATGTTAACTTACTAATGAAGCAGAGACCAGGGTTTTGCTGTCTCCCTGCTGGGAACTGAGGGGTCAGCCTGGTGTGGAATTTGCATGAGAGAGCAGCTTGTAGGGGGCAGGGGGAAGTTCCCCCGAGGAGATGATGCTTGAGTGGACTTTCAATGGTGAGCATTTCAGGCTGGCCTGGCTGGACATGTCCACCTCCACAGTTTTAAATGTATGCAAATATTCTGTTACTCCAAGTTAATAAATTTACAATGGAAATTGTAATGCATTTGATTTTGTATTGAGGCTTCCAAATGACCAGTTTTTTATCTTGATGGATGCCCTTGCTTGTGGCTTGGTTTGGTCCCTTTCTGAAAAGTGTATTTAGATAACTGGACGTAATCGGGGAGTCTACCCTAGTGAGCTGGTCTCTAGGAAGTAGTCTTTGGTTTAGCAGGCAACTTTGACAAACTTTGGGCGCCCGAACACATGGGACAAGTCTCCTTGTCTTTACCTCTTTGGTCCTTCTGGTTCTTCCCTAGAGTCTTGAGGTATTGTGAGTCAGGGGCTTGTGCAGCCGGTGAGAGGATGTAGCCGACCTGGATGGGAGAGAATGTGGCCACTGTTAATCTCTTCCTTCAGCAGCAGGTGCCTGAGGGAATATAGATGGCCAGACAGAGACCCTTTGAGCTATAGGAAAGCATCACATTTCAAAAAAATAAATAGTTTTCTCCGTACCCAGCCATTGTGTGGGTTCTTTTTAAAGATATAAAAGGGATACCTATTACTAGGAATATAATGATTCCCAATCATTGTATGAGGAATAAACAAAGCATAGCAATAGCATGTGACTCATGGGACGGACCTTTCTATGTGACAATCACTGTAATCATGTCATCTCTCAGCTTTCTCTTCTGATGAATGTTTTTCAGTCCAGGTACTTCATGAAACAGTGAGAACTCATAAGTATACATGCAGTCACTGAACATCTTGTAAAAACCCACAAACTTAACTCCTGCACACCTGAGTGTCAGCTAAAGGATACAAGGACATGATATGCAGCTGCATGAAGTTGCATCTGGATTTGGACTCAGACTACTATTTATGGAACATTTACTAGGTGCTAAGCCTTGGAATACATCCTTTCCATGTAGTATTTCATGTAATCCTCATAGCAACCCCATAAAATAAAGCTTTATTGTTTTCCCCATTTTGCGCATGAAAAGACTGAGATTTAGAGAGCTTGTGTTACCTTGACTAAGGTGCTATAACTAGAGAGAACAGACTATAAACAGGCCTCAGAATCCATAGACAGAGTCATCCAGCAGTTTGCTACAGTTGCAGAACTTGGAAGTGATGGAGTCAGGACTTGAACCCCTGTCTGACTCCAGAGCGTGTGCTGTAATCGCCATATTGTTCTGGTCACTTTGTCCCAATAATGAATTCATTGGATGGCTGAGTTTGATTCATTGCTCAAACCTCCCTGCTGAGCCATCCCATCAACTTGGCTAATTAAAACTGATCAGAAAAGTCTGTGTTGAGTCTTCCTTTCTTATTTTGGATTATTTTGATATTTCACTCCCATCAAGAGTGAAAATTGACCAAACTCGTGGATAAGAACTACCTTTATCCATGTTTAAAGGATTCTTTGTTAAGTACTCCACTTAGCGGTTTAAAACAATTTCTCCTTTCATAGTGTGGAAAAATCTGAGTGGTTTTACTGGACTCTTTGACATGTAGGCATGTCCTGATCCTATGCCATGAATGAAACGGATGGTGCTTCACCTGTTCTTTCTTGATTAAGCATTAGTTCAAAAAACTGATTTTAGAGCGCGTAATCCCTCTGTTTAGAAATGCTCGTTGATGGTGCTGGAGTTGCAGCCACGGAGATGTTTCGTCATCTGGAACATCCTCATTAGATTCTGGGCTTCAAAGGTCAGGTGGAGTAGAAATAAAATACGGCCGGTTTTCTCCAGCAGAGCTAAGCCTTGGCACTTGAGTGCATTTTTGCAGTGTGTCTCTTGCTTCCATGCTGAGGAAATCTTTAAGGAGGCAGAATGATGGGGAAAGCAGGGGATTAGGGAAAAAACAACTTAGTGTGGTTAAGGTATCAATATGTGGCAAGGCCGTAAGCACCCGTGTGTTTACCAAATGCCATTCAGCGGTGATGAACTCTCTCTGCCTGCTCGGTTGTCATTCATACATCAGATGTGCTAGTTGGCCTTAATACATCCACTCCATTATAATGTCACAGGTAATGAGCATACAGGGCAAAAGAAAAAATTGCATATTGACAGAAGTGACAAAAAACTGTTATTTTGCTGTTTCCGAGTAATGCATTTCCTGCGATCCTAATTAATGTGACAAGAAAATTCATTGCCAAGAAATTGTGTGGTATTTGCTTAAGCATCATTCTAAAATTGTGAGGCTTGGGAGAGTTAGCCCAAAGTGTTTATTGTATGTGTACGGAGATATTCTGGCGCCCACAGGGCAGAAGAGATGGTGCATATTGTTATTCAGATATAATTAAACCTAGGTCACATTCAAGTCCATTAAGCAACAGCCTCAAATCCTTTTAATTAATGGGTTCAGATTGGTTGGTCTAAAGGAGCTAATTAAATTTTTTCCCAAGATTTTCTATTTAAATAGACAACATTGTACTGCTTGCATTTCCCCCGAAGTTGTTCTTTGCAATTTGGAGTTGATGAAGGTATCAGCACTTCGTGGCAGGCTCTGATTTTCAGAGGTCAGGAAACACTGCGGGCTCCAGGTCTCTGGCTGTACCCGCAGAGACACTGATCTGCATCTTCCAGCACCTTCTCAGAGTCAAGAAGATCTGGACTCCCTATGTTATCTTGTACCCAGCCACAGCCTGACCGAGGTCATCTGTTTTCTCCCTGGAGAGCTGACACATCTTCTCCAAAGTCTGATGGAGGAGGGCAGATCAGAGATCAAAAGCCTTGAGGACGGCAACCCTGCATTCTTCATATTTCATAAAGCTGGAATGTCCTAGAACTAGTACGTCCGGCCACTTCTGTCCGTTTCTCCTGCAGCTGTCGCATCTCTCCTACTCCTGAGCCGTGTCTCCAGGCCACGCCCCATACGTTCTCTCTAACAGTCTCACTTCTGCGAGCTGTATAATAAAAGATCCATAGCAGGGCCTCCCAGTGGCGTTGGAGATTTCCCTTTATCCTACACCTGCCGGGCTCCTGGCTATCCCGTGTTTTTCTCACCCCCATGGGCTCCAGTGGCTCTTCTGCCCGAGGAGAAATGGCCGGGCCAGCAGGAGCAGCTCTGGGCTTCTCAAAGCTTTTCTCTCCATCCCGCTCCCCCGTGGATGTTTCTGGCATCGTGTTCTCAGAGTTAGTAAGATAGGGAGTATCTCCAGAAAACCTGAGGTTTCAGTGCTTTGCTCCATAATTCCCTCGAGAGCTACGCGGTTCTCCAAGACGTCGCACGCGGCCGTGCTCAGCATTGGCCTGGTACCGGGTGCCCAGCACGGTTCTGTCTTCGGCAGCCTGACTTCGGCAGCCTGGCCCGGCGCCCCCAACAGCACCTTTCTGAACAGTCATCAGTTGAAGTCTGGGGAAAGGGGAATCCTCGTCTGGGCCTGGCTGTGCTCTTTCCGCGGAGTGACAGCAGAAGGAAACGATGCCCTGGGGCCCAGTTATTCTTTGTCACTTGATGTGTCCCTGGGGGCTGGAGCGATTTCATAAAGAGCTCCTCGGGGCGGGGCGAAGAAGCCCCGGCCTGGCCCTGCGGCGCAGTCCTCCAGCATGTGAGGACCCCCGCGGCGGGGGTACGTTGCTGGCGGGGCCTTTCTGTGAGATTATTTCATTTTGGGACCCGGGAATCGGCGCCACTGAGCTTCAGCGTGCCCCTTTGTCACAGCAGCTCCCAGCTGCCGCGGCCGCTCAGAGGACTTCAGGAGCGTGTCGCTGCTGCCATCTGCCTTCCGTCTCGGGGAAACACACGGGCCGCCGGCCGGACAGGGAAGCAGCCGCCTTGCAGATTGGGCAAACCCTGCACCCTCCCTCCCCACTGGGGAGGAAATAAAAACCAAGATGTTGGTGTCCCCCCAGTGAAAACCCCATTATGAAAACCCGTGTTTCCTGACCTACCGTCGTTTGAAAGTGGCTCCATTTGAACTGTAATCAAACTGCCAAGTGACCTTTCTGTCCCTCCGCCCAGCGCCCCTGAAAGGGCCTGTTGTTCCTTTGGTTCCATGAAGAAACCTTCTGTGTAGTTAAGCAAGTGTTTTTCCAGTCATGTCTCCTGGTGAGTTACAGAAAGTTGATTGTTGGGTCTTGGTGGTGGTGGTTGTTTGTTTTTCTTTTAATACATTGACCTCCCTACCCGCTCACTGCCCCCCGACACTTATTTCTTTACTTTCTTAGCAAAGAAGGAGAACACAGCTGAACAGCTTCGGGAGGACTTTCAGCGTCCCTGGTTATGGTTCTCAGATCCTGGTATAAGCTGACTTCTCTTTGCCTCACCCCCCAGGGCTTGGGAGCCTTCCAGAGCCTCTGAGGCATCCACACAGGACTGGACCACAGAATAGCCCCCTGTGAGCTAGGGACGCCCATCCTGACTGATGTGTTTATGTGGCCTGTGTTTTTCTGTCCTGCAGTTGTTTGTTGGACTCGGGTTCCCTTACGAGGGCCCAGCTCCCCTGGAGGCTATTGCAAATGGCTGCGCTTTTCTGAATCCCAAGTTCAACCCACCCAAAAGCAGCAAAAACACAGACTTTTTCATCGGCAAGCCAACTCTGAGAGAGGTAAGCATCTATCAAAACCATTCTACTTTCCATGATATGAATGACAGCCATTTATTGAGTGCTAATGCAGGTCTTAACTTCATTTAACCCAGTTGGGTGGGAGGGGGAGTGTGCAGGGGCTCAGAGACATGGGTGACCCAATCACATCATCCACTAGTCAGTGGCAGGGCCAGGATTCGAATCTGCATCTGCCTCCACAAAGTAAGGAATCTTCATTCTACCCTAACTCTTATCTTAATGTGAACACAGGCATTCTAGCCTTCTGATTTTAGCTGAACTCTGATTTCCTGAATGTGTGGTATTCAGGGAACGAGAAGCTCAAGTGGTTAGTTAGCAGATATTTGTAGAAAATCTGTTCTCCATGGTGGGCTGTGGGTGGCTTTCAAAGGACCCTCAACCTCAAGAGACGAGCTGTAACTTGGGTATTGAAATCATGCCACCTGACTTTTTCACCCACCTTTGACAGGCACCGTCCTGACAAGGAACCCTGCCCTTGCTAGAACCATATGCATGAGTTCTTATTTGAGTTGCCTTCAGAGATCCTCTTGAAAATCCACAGTGGGTGATGAATCACCATTGAGGGTAGTTGGATATAATTTAGGACAATAAACAAAATTCATTTACAGCTAAATGTGAGCGATCAAGCAGGGTGTTTCTGCATCTGGTTAGGAACAGGTGTGTGCAGGAAACTATAACATTTATTTTCTTATTATTTCTGTGTAGTTAGTAAGTGGCTCTGCAGGCAGCTGATGAAGAGGAGGTCATGGCAGCATCCTCATCATTTGGGGCCTTCCACTGGGGGATTACATTGACAGGCAGCTCTCCCACGACATAGCAATATTGAAGGACAGTTTTTAAAGCATAATATTTATTCAATTCTGCTGCTGTTAAACCTTCCTGGGTCATTTTCCCTGACCCTGTCTCCCAAATAGTCCATAAAATGCATTTGCAATGATTATTCTTTATTGATCAGTCAGAAACCTTGCCAAGTTATGGAATTGGTTATTTTGAGAGTTCTTTTCTCTGACCCTCCCTAACACTGGTGAAATGGCCAAGGGAGATGGGAGAAGATCAGTCAGATCCACAGATTATCTCGGGTTAACCTGTGCCCAGATAACCTCTGACAAGGGCTGTGTGTTTGCTTGTCTTTTCCATCTGCTAGTACAATAAATTTGAATGCTTCATTTTGAGGAGTGTTCTCTTTTTGAGAGGTCAGTTCTTTCATTCATTTCTCAACAGTATTTAATGCATACCTGTGTGCCAAATGCAGTGGGAGTTGCTAGGGCACAGAGATCAGGAGCATTCAGTCTGCTGTGGAAGAGCCTATTCTTTGGAAAGGTTTAGAAAGACACTCCCCAGCAGTGAGAACATCTCAGTTTTGGAATCTCTGCTTTAGCATGTCACTGGTTTCTTTGAAACTTTGAAGTTTTGGCTAAAAATAGACTAATAAATCATCCCTAGGATTTTTTGTTTTTGACAAATAAAAATTATATATATTTAAGGTGTACAACTTGATATACATTGTGGAATGATCACTACAATCAAGCTAATTAACATATCACCTTACATAGATACCTTTTTTGTGTGTGTGGGTGTGGTAAGGACACTTAAGATCCACCCTTTTGGCAGATTTCAAGTACACAATGCAATGTTGTTTTACTGTAGTCAGTGCTGTACAGTGACTCTCCAGAACTTACTCATCTTGCATAAGTGAAACTTGCTACCCTTTGATGAACGTCTCCCATTTCCTGCACACCCCCGACCCCTGAGAACCACCATTCTACTCTCCGCTTCTGTGAATTCAGCTATTTTGGATTCCATATTTAGGCGAGATCATGCCGTTATTTATCTGTGTCTGGCTTATTTCACTTAGCATAATGTCCTCCAGGTTTATCCCTGTTGTCGCAAATGGCAGGATTTCCTTTTTTCAGGCTACGTAATATTCCCTGTACACACACATACATGCAATTTCTTTCTCCATTCATCTGTTGATGGACACTTAGGTTGCTTCCCCATCTTGACTATTGTGAATAATACCATACTGAACGTGAGAGTGCAGATACCTCTTCAACATACAGATTTTAATTCCTTTGGATATATACCCAGTAGTGGGATTGCTGGATCATATGGTAGTCCTACTTTTAATTTTTTGAGGAACCACAGTAGTCTTTTCCATAATGGCTGTACCAATTTACATTCCCACCAACAGTGTCCAAGGGTTCCCTTTTTATTGCATTTTTGTCTATATTTGTTATCTTTTTGTCTTTTTGATAAAAGCCGTTCTAACAGGCATGAGGTGGTATCTCCTTGTGGTCTTGGTTTCCATCTCCCTGATGATTGATGATGATGAGCACCTTTTCATATATCTGTTTGCCTTTTGTATTTCTTCTTTAGAGAAATGTCTATTTGGGTCTTTTGCCTATTTTTAATTGGATTATTTGGTTTTTTTTGCTGTGGAGTTGTAAGAGTTCCTTATATATTTTGCATATTAATCCCTTATCAGATACATGGTTTAAAGATATTTTCTCCCATCCATTAGGTTGCCTTTTGATGCTGTTAGTTATATCCTTTGCTGTGCAGAAGCTTTTTAGTTTTATGTAGTTGCATTTATCTATTTTTGCTTTTATTGCCTGTGCTTTTGGTATCATATCCAAAAATTGTTTCCCAGAGCAATGTCAAGAAGCTTTTTCCCTATTTGTTTTCCTAGTAGCTGTACTTGTTTCAGCTCTTACATTTAAGCCTAATCCATTTTGAGTTGATGTTTGTTTATGGTTTGAGATAAGGATCCATTTTCATTCTTCTGTATGTGGAGATCCGGTTTTCCCAACACTATTTGTTGATGAGACTCTCCTTCCCCATGTATTCTTGGCACCTTTGTTCAGAATCAGTTGACCATAAGTGCATGGATTCTTTTCTGGTGTCTGTTCTATTCTATTGTCTCTCTGTCTGTTTTTATGCCAAAATCATCCATAGGCTTTAATTTAGGTATAGTAAATCTCTGAAGTTCTTATGCCCAAATTGTAGGTAATACTTGTCATTTTCCATGTTTTTTTTTTTAACATTTTTGTGATAAAATATACACTACATAAAATTTACCATTTAATCATTTTTAAGTGTATAAATTGCCGCCATTAAGTGTATTTGCAATGTTATGCAACCGTTACTGCCATCCATTTCCAGAACTTATTCATCATCCCAAATAGAAACTTCGTGTCCATTAAACACTAACTCCCCATCTTCCCCTCTCCCCAGCCCTTGGTAACCTCTGTTCTACTTCCTGTTTCTATGAATTTGCCTATTCTAGGTGCATCATGTAAGTGGAGTCCTATAATATTTGTCTTTTTGTGTCTGGCTCACTAACTTAGCATAATGTTTTCAAGGTTCATTCATGTCGTTACATGTGTCAGAATCTCATTCCTTTTTTAAGGCTGAATATTCCATTGCGTGTATGTACCACATTTTATTCATCCGTCCATCTGTTGACGGACATTTGGGTTGTTTCCACCTTTTGCCTCTTGTAATGCTACTATGAACACTGGTATATGTGTATCTGTTGGAGTCCCTGCTTTCAATTCTTGCAGGTATATACCTATAAGTAGACTTGTTAGAATTTACTTTTTATTTATTTTGAAATAATTTTAATCATACAGATAGTTGCACAAATAACAGAGTTCAGGTATACCCTTCATCCAGCTTCCTCTAATGGTAACTTTTACAAAACCGTAGTACAGTGATCAAAACCAAGAAATCAACATTGGTACCACAGTATTGTCCAGACCAGGGGTCCCCAACCTGCAGTGGGTTGTATAGTTATTTCATTACATATTACAATGTAATAATAATAGCAAAAAGTGCACAATAAATGTAATGTGCTTGAATCATCCTGAAACCCTGCCATCCCCCCCACCCTCTAGTCCATGGAAATATTGTTCTCCATGAAAACGGTCCTTAATGCCAAAAAGGTTGGGGACTGCTGATAGACGACAGATTTTATTTGGACTTCACCAGTTTTCCACTAAGATCCTTTTTCTGTTCGTGCAACAAATTCAGGACCCCACATTACGTTAATAGTCACATCTCTTTAGTCTCCTCTAATCTGTGACAATTCAGACTTTCATTGTCACCCGTGACCTTAATGCTTGTAGAGAGTACAGGTCAGGGGATTTTTTGTACACTCTTTCTCAGTTTAGATTTGACTCATGTTTTCTCATGATGAGTTTGAGGTTACACATTTTTGGCAAGAATATCCCAGAAATGATGTGTTCTTAGCACATCATATCAGGGGGCAAATGATGTCGATATGTTTTATTACGGGTGATGTTAACCCTGATCAGTTGGTTAAGGTAGTGTTTCCTAGATTTCTCTACGATAAAGTTACTGTTTTTCTCTGGCTTAGGGGGAATACTTGGAGACTTCATGAATATCCTATTCAGATTTCCACCAATGTATTTATTGCATCATATATAATAGCAGTAAATCTTTTCCGCAATGGTTATTACTGTGATGTTCTGATGGTGATTTTCTATTTCTCTTATCATGATTTTTTTTAATGCATGAAAGGCAAAGAAACCCATGTCTTTTCTTACTGTAGTGTCTGTATACAACGCTTTGGGAAGTGAATCAAGAGTATCTTAGACTAAGTCGACAACTAGCATCTTTTTGTTAATGCTAGTTCTAACGATTTTGATGACACTTTGTGACAACTTGAGTATTTTTTCCTGAAAAAAATTTAGGACACTCTTAAACAAAATCTAAACATTGTCCAATGAGTGATGTAATGTTGCATGCATCAGAATAGTCAGTATAAAGTTATCAAGAAAAGTATCTTCGTTGTTTCCTATCAGTTGTCATCATTTAGTAATTTATTCTTTCCTGCGATCTTGGAGGGTATTCGTTCTTCATGGATAGAAAGAGAATAGGCATTGGAGGTGCTGCACAGGCATTTGATTCCTCCTGTCCCTTCAGATGAGTCTGCCAGCCCTTAAATGAGACTCCATTGGAAACACATTGTGGATCCTTTCAAAAGTTGCTCAGCAATTGCCTCACACAGATGACTGGGTTCCCCCAGGAGGGCAGGATGCAGAAGGGCGGTTGACAGATGTTTAATGTATCCCCACAGGATGGTACTAATTGCTGCACTGGGGGAATTTATCATGACACATTTCCTGTTTTCCAGGGGCCTCAAATCTGATATGGAAGAGTGGTAGGACAGATGCATGATCAGTGGAAGTACATAAAGAAATGGCTAAGTGAATTAAGGAGGGGAGTGAACTTGGAGTTGTGCCAGGTGGAGAATGTGCAGGGTTAGCTGAGAAGGGGAGAGGTGGAGGGGCCGTGCTGTAAAGGAAGAGGGGGTGGGAGGTCTCAAGCCTGAGAAGCACAAATGCTGAGAAGTTGAGGCCCAAGGTCAGTTTGCTTTCGGCAGGAGGTGAGCTTCCATTTGATGTCCTCCTCCGTCTAGCAGCATCAGACAGCTTTGAGAAGGGCCAGTGAACTTGGGCTCTCGGCCAGGTGGGCCACCCTGCTCTGTGATGTCAACTCACAAAGGCCCCCCATGGCCTCCTAACCAAAGATGCTTTTAATGGGGAAAGAGCTGTCAACAGTTCTACAGATTTCTAAGGGTAAAAAAAATCTCTAGAAGCTTTCTTTTTTCTTCAGCAAATGGAAACATCTTAACCAGAGTGTACATAATTACAAAGCAATTTTTTTGTGCCTGTTCAGATCTTTTGTGTTAAGTAACAATCGATCCACATAAATTGATCCATATCAGTTGCATATATATGTCTTCTTTGCCTTTATTTGAAGAGAAGAAAAAGTCTAGATTTGTAAATGTGAGTTTAGCTTTGTTTTTATTTTTGCATTGGACCAATGTTTCAAACCACAGTGTCTACTCAGGGGAAGAAGTTTCATGATGCCTTAAGTAATGTGATTGGTATAGGTTATACTTCATTATAAACTGGATTTTTATATTTTTCTGTAGCTCTTAAAGCAAAAATCTTCTTCTTTCAATAGATTCAGGGAGTACAGATGGAGTTTTGTTACATGGATATATTGTATCGTGGTGAAGTCTGGGCTTTTTAGTGTACCTGTCACCCGAATAGTGTACATTGTGCCCAGTGGGTAATTATTCATTTCTCACCCCCCTTCCGTTCTCCCCGCTTCTGAGTCTGCAATGTCTATTATCTTCATATTGGGAAATATATTAGTAGATTCTTGATCATTATTCTGACATTTTGTAAACCATTAGAAATTCTCTTGCTTCAGGGTTTTTTCCTAATAAAGAGAACTCATGTTCTCCTTGGAGATTTAATAGCCACTCTGAAGTCATGTCTCATATTTAATAAGATCTTCATTACTTTTATAAACTATACTTCAGTAAATTTACTGATTGATATACAATGAGGTAGCTTAGATCAGATGGTTCTCAATAAATTAACAAGGAGGAACATAGCATTCAGAGGGAAACTAATGAATCACAAAAATGCCTTACTCATAAAATTAACCTTCAATAAATACAAATGAATAAAGTGATAATGGCTCAGCATTTTGTATTTTCTAAGTGCTTAGAGCAACCTTGTAAATAAGCAGGGACCTTAAAAGGGGGGAGAGGAGAGGAGAGAGGCTGCTAAAATGTAAATTACTAAATAGTGACATTGATGGCAACTTTAATTTACTCAGCTTCCATCAGAAAAACTAATTAGTTTGTTCTTCAGGCCACAAAACGAAAATGATGTGACATTTTGCTCATCTTCAGGAAAGGTCTAATACCAGCATAAATTCAGTCCTGAATTTAGGTTGGCAGGTTTTAAGAGAGTGATTAAAAGGCTGGTGCTTACGTCGGGCATTTGTCTTTGTCTTAAGAACTCAGTGGTGTCCTTTAAAATTGCCATCCTCCTTTTTGTCTAAAGCTAATAAATTGTCGAAGGATCTGGGTTTGAATGTGGTTCTGCCACTTTCTGGCTAAGTGGTCTTGGGGAAGTGTAAACCCCTCTGAATCTCAGAATCCTCATCAGTACCCCAGAAACCTGATGAATAACATATGTGCAGGAGGTCAGCACAATGCCTGGCCCAGCCCAGGGCTTCATCTATATGTGCTGAATCCAAAATATGTGAAGAGACAAAAATGGAGGTTTCCTCAGCTCCATGGGCCTGCAGAGAGTCTATAGCCTATATTGGAGTCAGAAATAAAAAGGAGAGCCAGCTTGGCCTTCAAACCAAAGGCCTCAATGCTACCAGGCTCAACACCTCTTTTTATTATATAATAAATATATTATAATGTCTACTTTTCTCTCTCCTGAAATGAAATTTATAAGTTATATAACCTGCCTACATATGTAATTTCTAGAGAATCATTCCCTAACTTGAACATAAAGGAAAATAATTGCTAATAAAGTAATGCATATTTCAGTATTATGTCATCAAGGACTATACTATACCATACCCAAGAGCTATACTAGACAATGTGATGACTCATTCCTCCTCACAATTAATGTTTGTATTTAAAAGAAATAAAACATTCTTCTGAATATGGTCAGTCTTTTTTGCTTAAGTGAAAGAGGAGCTCAAGAGTGCATGTACACACACACACACACACACACACACACACACACACAATTGCTATTAATGTGACAGCTACAAATACAGACTGATTTGGGTATGTTTTACTGTAGATGGATGTCCTGAGTGGCATTGACTTTGCTGCTCTGATTTTTCTGAAATGGTGATGGCTTGTTGGTGAAGTTTTAAATAAAACAGAGTACAGACATCTCTTGGTTTACATGGGTAATTATGTTCCTGGAAAATTCGATGTATGTTAAAACCAAATCAAAGAGTTGGATTCTATAAGACCACCTGAAAACCCCATAGCGCATTTGAAAGTAGCATGGGAAGCGGCAGGTCTTCCTGTGCAGGCCTGTCCTGCACGCTGCAAGACATCTCGTACCCATGGTTCCCCCCCATGGAGTCAGGGTGGCACCTCCGAGTCACTGTGGCAACTGAGAATGCTCTCACAGATGTCTTGAATTCCTCCTTTACACTATGACCTTAAAGGGATATGAGAATAGAGGTGGAAACAAAATTGAGGAGTAAATTTAAGTATCTTATACTTAATAGAATGTACTCTTCATGAACTCAGAATTACCAATATTCACACTTGATTTCTTTGAGCACACTTTGTTCTTAAAATAAAACTTCCTTTAGGACAAAAACTGCCATTCCTTGCTTTTCCAAACGTGATGCTAAATTATTATTCCTGAAACCATTCCAAAAATTGTTTTTCTGCTGGTATCATTTGTCTGTCTTTCACTTTGTGTGTGCCATTACTCATCCTCCTGTGACTTTACAGACTGGATTTGTCTTGTGATTTTCCATTCTTACCTGTCTATCCTAGCCAAGATAATAGATACTGGTTTGATCTTGGTGGTTTTCAGGGCTAGGTTATGGCAAGGAGTAAATGTTCATTATTTCCTGGTGTGATGTTGGGGGTTAAAGCCACCTGTAACAGCCTCCTTGTCCCCTGGTCATGACATTCTGTGTCTTCCAAGTGAGTTTCAGCATGTGAAGCCATTACTATTTTATTGTTATCTGCTTATGAATGCTTAGGCGGTTTTGATCGTCAAGGGGGGGAAGGACACCTACACAGGTACAACTGAGTACTATAAAAAGCATAACACTTCATCTAGCACAGTAAGTCTTTTAAAAAACCCTTTGTGAGGTGTTCTGTTTTTCTCTTTTCCAGCTGACATCCCAGCATCCTTACGCTGAGGTTTTCATCGGCCGGCCACACGTTTGGACTGTTGACCTCAACAATCAAGAGGAAGTAGAGGATGCAGTGAAAGCAATTTTAAATCAGAAGGTTGTTTCTTTTATTCCACTTTTCCACATCAGCTTAACCCTAGAGTTAGAAAATCGCCAAGCTGTAGGATTTGGCCTGGGGATTTCATGGATGTTCTGTAAAATGGAAACAGAACTGGTGTCCAGATGTGGGCGTGGATTCTACAGACCCTTTTGGCGTGGTTCCTGGGTCCCCGGTACAGGAGCAGGAGCTTGAGTTATACTTGCTGCAATGATCTAATTATGCTGCTCCTTCACAAAGATGTGAAAAGATAGAGCTGTTTCCTCTACAAAAAAAGAGAGAAGGATAAGGAAATATTGGGCAATGTTCTTATAGAGCATCTGTTTATTTGGTTTTTCTACCCAAATATTTTGTAGAATTTTGTAAAAGTAACATTTCTGGACTCACCTGATCAATTCAGCGGACATTTGTTAAGTACCTGCTGTACACAGAGCACCTCTGAGACCTCTGGCGGGTTTACCTCCATAAACAAACAAAGCTGGCTTCCTACCTCCAGAAGGTTATCTCCTCCAGTGGGAATGACTTCACTTATCCTTTCTCCCAACCCCACAACTGCCACAGACTCTATCAAGTGCACCCCACCCCTGGACTTCTCAGATTGGAACACTTTTTACACTTTCTATGATGTTTTCAGAGAAGCAGAGTAGTAATACTAGTAGGACAGGCTTGATGCACACAGTTTGGGTTCATATTTAATTCCAAGATTTTAAATTTATGTAACACAAAGCCCAAGAAAACTTGACCCATCAGTAACAGAGAAAACCATCAATGAAACCAGACCTGGAGATGGCCCAGATGTTGGAATTATCAGAAAACAACTTCAAAATGCTATGATAAATATATTGAAAAGTTTGGTGAAAAGGGTGGAAAATATATGTGAACAGATGGAGAATTTCAGCAAAGAGATGGAAAAATATTTTTAAGCCAAATTTTTAGAAAATGCTAAAAATGAAAAATATATCATCAGAAATGAAGAATTCTTTAGTGGGTTTATCAGTAGAATGTATGTAGCAGAGGGGGGAAAAAATGAGTGACTTTGAAGGCCTGTCAGTAGAAATAATCCAAATTGACGCAACAAGCATTCCATTGAGAAAAAAAAAAGAAATTATCTAAATTGAAAAATAAAGGGAAAGAAGAATGAAATAAAAAAGATAAGATCTGTGGGACAATAGCAAGCACCCTAACGTATGTGTAATTGGAATCTCAGAAGGAAGAGAGAATGGACCAGAAGAAATATTTGAAAAGATAATCGCAAAGAACTTTTTTTGTTTTTGTTTTTTTCAGACAGAGTCTCACTCTGTCGCCTGGGCTAGAGTGCTGTGGAGTCAGCCTAGCTCACAGCAACCTCAAACTCTTGGGCTCAAGTGATCTGATCCTCTTCCCACAGCCTCCCAAGTAGCTGGGGCTACAGGCATGCACCACCACAACTGGCTAAAGAATTTTTAAAATTAATGAATGACATGAATCTACAGATCCTAGGAGATCGGTGAACCCCCCAATCCTAGGAGCAAGATAAATATAAAGAAAAACACACCCTCACATATCATAATCAAACTGTTGAGAAGCAAAGATAAGGAAAAAAAAAAAATCTTGAAAGCAGCCAGAGAAAAATTTATTACATTTAGGGAATAATGATATTAAAGATTACCAACTTCTCATCAGAAATAATAGAGACCATAAAAAAGTTCCTGGGAGCCAGAACATGTGGGGCCTTTAAACAGACCATGACAGGCTGGGTATGGTGGCTCATGCTTATAATTCGAGCATGTTGAGAGCCTGAGGCAGGAGGATCATTTGAGGCCAGGAGTTCAGAACCAGCCTGAGCAACATAGTGAGACGTATCTCTACAAAAAATAAAAAAAATTAGCTGGGTATGGTAGCACACGCCTGTAGTCCCAGCTACTCAGGAGGCTGAGGCAGGAGGATCGCTTGAGCCCAGGAGGTGGAGGTTGCAGTGAGCTATGATGATGCCACTGCACTCTAGCCTGGGCAACAGAGTGAGAATTGTCTCTAAATAAATAAATAAATAAAACCTAAATAAATAAAATAAACAAGTAATTAGGTCATGATGAGGATCCATCCTGGATTTTGTAAGTATGATGGGAAGTTTTGAGCAAGGGAATGTTATGACCTAGTTCACATTTGAAATCAAGAGAAATGACAGGATCTGCCTAACTCAAAATCCTATGGATAGTAAATAGAGGAGGCTGGCCTCCGGATACCTTCTAAGACCATCTCTTGTTGAATGATACCGAGCCCCCTGTGTCAGGTCAGATCACAGAGAGTTTCTCATGGAGGCTGATCTCTGAGGGCAGTTCCCTATAGGAATTGTCCCCTGACTTGGAAAGGTGAGTGAGTGGAGACAGGGAATCCGTCAGGAAGGGAGGTCAAGAGGAGAAGATGGGAAGGTAATGGAAAGTTTCCAAGGCCGGCAGAAGCTCTGCAGTGCAGCCTGCAGGCATCCTTCCTGTGACCTGGCCATATGAGTAACAGTCCTCCTTCCACAGAGCAGGGTGAAACAAGAATGTTCCCTTGCTTCTCAGCTCGCCTTACTTGGGTTTCTCAGTGACTGGATGTGGTTTCCGCATTCTTTTCATTCATCTCCCTAAGAGGCCTTGACTCGTTCCTAAAGAAATGCTACACAGAAAACTGCTCCCCTCCCTTCCCCCAACCCATGCAGCAGCCCCCACCTCGGGGGTCACCAGTGCCCTTTATTCCCAAAGCCAGGGCTGGTCTGGAGAGCTTCCCACGCAGAGGGCCCTGCCTGCTTCCATCCATAGCAGGATGCCTAGTGAACTCACTGGCAAAGGCAGCCTAGGACTACAATTTCCTTTTATCCCCTTTTCCTTTGTAGGAAAATTATTTGGCTTAATATCCTTTAAAACAGTGAACTGGCCCCAATGAATGAGTCAGCATCCCTTCGTTTAAACTGGGCTTGGTAGGAGAACAGAGGAAGGATCATTTTTCCATATTTATTGCCTTAAGCCCTTTGAATTAATTCACTTCTGTTTTTGATGGATGCCCTTTGGAATATGTTGTCAGAATGGCACTTGGGTACTCCGTGCACTTCCCACTAACATAACTGGGTCTGTTCTGGTCTCATGAAAGATAACCACCAACGTTTATCTCACTTGCAAGAATCTACTTTCCACTGATAAATGAACCCAGGTATGCCATGTTCTCTATTTTAGAGAGCTGCTTTTTGTTTTTTCTCTGAATCTTTGGGAGGAAACTTACCTCTAGGTCACCCCATGGGTCGAATAAATAACCTTTGAAAGAAAAGAAAAATGTTACATTTTATGTGAAGGGCTATGGCTGGGGTTGAGAGGGAACAATAAGTTCAAAAGCTTGAGATGAGAAGGAGCAATCTGAGAACGTGAAAGTCAGTTCTTCAGAGCTCTTTGGTGATGAGCTATCTAGGAATAGAGTGACCTCTCTGTTCTGGTAGAATAGTCTACCATGATATTACAGTACTTAGGGCTCAGCCTCTTGTGCATTTGAAAACATTATGAAATTTTTAAAAATCATGGTTGAAGATGATTTCAAATATAATGTGTGGTTCAAAACACAATAAAAGAGGACAGGATGCCCTGGGAACAACTGCATGGGTACCCACTGAGGAATGTCCTCTCTGTTGATTTTCAGCTCAGCAAGACTCAATTCACAGATGTTTTGTCCAGTTCCTCCATCCTGTAGATTTGAGATAGGTAAACATAGACTTAAGAGTACGCTGGTGAATGTGCACCTCTTCCCAGTCGCCCACAGGCACTGTTGAGCTCCCTGAAGCTATAATGGACTAGATTGCTGGTGATTTTCTCCCAAGTGAAATGTCCATTTCAGATTGGTAATGTACCTAAAAACTCACGTCTCATAGTGTTGGCAAACACTGTGCAGCAGAGATCAAACCCATGTTTCTTCCTCTTCCCTCAGGTGTCACAATATTGATCAGATTGCCTCCTCCACCCCAGTGAAGGACCTTCTACAGTTTCCTGCTCCCCTCAAAGAAAATCTAGGCTCCCTAGTATAGAAACGTCAAGGCTTTTGTGGAAATTCAGTGACTCTTCTTCCCAACTTTGTCTCACCAGCCTCCATGATCCTGAGCTCCAGCTTCCTGCTGTCCTTTCATGTCAAATCTCATACTACTAATTTCCACCTAGGATGTCCGTGGAATCTTGGCCCCAGTCTTAGCTTGCTAGACTCATAGCTGGCCTTAAAAGCCCAGCATGAGCAGAAGTCAGTTTTGACCTTCTGACCTCCCAGGATCCTCTAGTTGAACTCTTTGTGGCACTTTATCACTTTGATTTTGTACCACGTACTCTTTGGGTACATGCCAACCTCACTTACTAATGCAGACCATTGCCTTTGTCACCACCACAACTGATTGTTTTGTGCCTTTCTCACAGTGGCGACCATGCAGTCATTCAACAGATGTTTGCTAAGTTCTCACATGTACCACACTATGCTCTGCAATAGGGTGCAAAGATGGCCCATTAGCCATGGACTTTGCCCCATGGAGCTTACCTGCTGACAAGTGATAATCGCTGACTTTTGTTGAATGCCTCCAATGTGCCAAATACTGAACTAAGCACCTTTGTTCCCCCCCCCCATATAATCTTCACCACAGCTTTAAGGTGCGTTTTTCTTATCACCCTTTTGCATATGAGCCACCTGAGACTTAGATATGGCAAATAGTTTGCTCAGGGTCCACACCTAGTAAGGAGCAGAGTGAGATTGTGAACCAGGTCTGTTGACTTCCAGACCCATAGTCTTAACCCTCATGTAGCAGCCACTAGGTGTTGCCACCTGTGTGTAGAGTGAATCAGCAGAGGAATGGGTAAGTGCTGTGTGTTCTCTGTCCTCCTCCTTCATGGTACCTTGTTCTGTTTTCCCAGATTGAGCCATACATGCCATATGAATTTACATGTGAGGGGATGCTACAGAGAATCAATGCTTTTATCGAAAAGCAGGTAAGGCTCATTAGCAGTCCATCTGTCTTCGCTGTGTCCTGCTTCCTGTTATCCCAGGGCTTTCAAGACCACTTAAGAGCTCACTGTGTTTCTGTGGTTATTTTTCTGTTTTGTAAGAATCTAGAAACCAGATAATGGCTTGTTGGGATTCTAAAGGCAGCACTGCCATGGTCACCCAAGGGAACCAGGCTTTCCTTGGGGATGAGTTCTTTATGACAGTGGAAGGTCAAATGGAAACTTCCAGCAGGAAAGACTGGATGGTCACAACTCAGGCGTCCCTGTGCCCTGAGCAGGTTCTCAGGGGCATTGCGAAGACTGTGGAGGGGAGGGGCACAGAGAGACCAGCTGTCTGGTCCTGCCTTCACTTCTCACCCTAAGAAAGGCAAGGACTGAAACCAGTGGTTTCTAAACATTCCTTTAATAACGTATGTTCAGTAATTCCAAACGTGGTAGGACTTTTTAGTGATTTTCAAACTTCTTCTAAAAAAGGACCCTTTTCAAATGAAACCTTAGCCCAAAACCTAGCTATATAAAACAGATAAAAGCAGGACTTTGGTTCCAAAGCAGGGGAGGGTGCCAAGAGTCCCACCTCCCCCAACAGGGTTTAGAAACTGCAGCTTGTGCTTCTAGAAGTAAAGGCCAAGAGTGACATTGCTGTCACTTTATAACATTTTAATTCCTTAAGCTTCAAAAGCAACACAGAGCTAGAAATAGATGACTCAGAACCCCTGTGGATAAGGGAATATGAACTCTTTGACCAGATTCCAGAAATAAGGGGCTTTTCTTAAAGAGCAAAGCAGAGTGTTTTAAGACGATGAAGGGATCTTTACATAATGGAGGATGAGAATTGTGCAGGCTGAAAATAGAGATGGTGTGTTAAAAATCTAAGTAGGCACAGATCGTAAGCCCAAGGGGGCTTTCAAAGGAAGAGGTGGTGGTTTGAGGAGACAGACTGGTGAGCAGCCAGCCGGCAGCCCCGGTGCCCCATGGAGGGGAGCCGTGAATCGTGCCCACAGGTTGGCGCCTCTGATATGCTGAGTTTTTGTTAGCTGCAAGAGGGCACGTTCTGCATTCCAGCCACCCGGGTTCAACTCTTGGCATCACAAGTTTCTGGTTGTATGACTTGGGCATGTCACTCAGCCTCTCTGTGCCTTAGTGTCCTCCTCTGAAAAATAAGGATAATAACAGGACCTACTTCCTTCCTCATGAGCTAGCACAGAAGTACTTAGAACAGGGACTGGTACATGGTGTTTAATAAGTGCAGACTAGTACTGTTGGTTATTTAATACAGTGTGCTATACTGCATTATACTGTAGGACACTATGTTGTACTATAATTATTATATATAGTTATATATATAAATTATATTAGTCATCAGGCCTTACCATGGGAGCTAAGCATTGGATGGTTGTCTCATTCAGCCTTTATATGAGACAGACTAACAGAATCATAACTCTGCCAACTACATCCATCAAGATTCTGTGCCAGCGTGTGCCAAACACATCACCGTGTATCATCTCATTTACTCCCCACAGTAGTCCCAGGAGGTGGCAGTAATAACCACCTTCTCTAGATAGTGGAAACTGAGACCCATAGTTCCCAAGCTCACAAGTTGTGGAATCTGGATTTGGCGCTGGTTTGGTGGAGGCCAAGTCTGCATCGGCAGCACTTGAGGGGGTATCAGGAGATAGCAGGTGTCCCGGAGCTGTGCTTCCCGTCCTGCTTTACCTCCAAGAGCCACTCGCCCTTCCTGTAGGTGTCTGGAGGGGCTGCAGGCCCTCCTTTGGCGGTGGGTTTTGAGACATCATGGTGCTTGCTACCTGCCGTCTCGGTGGCTCTCTTGAGGTCGTAGCTGGGTCCCTGCAGCTGCTGCTGAAAGGCTCCTCCTCTTTTCCTGTCCCCACTTCCCCTCAGGGAAGATAGCTGCTCCCCACCAGGCGTGAATGACTTTCGATCAGGTTTATTTTCAGGCTTTTATCTCTTCCTTGAGGCTCATGAATCACAGTGAGTCCTTAAAAGTTCTCAAGTCCTCTCTAAGCCTATTGCTAGGAAGGTCCCATTCCCCAGGCAGACCTTGCCGAACGCTCCATGATGTGGGGGCCCCACCTCGCCTGTTCATCTCTGGGTCCCTCGCACCCTGCCTGACACACGGGGGCACAGTAACTCCCAGGTGAGGGATGAATGCATGAATGGGAGGTGAGCGAGTGACTGTGCTTTTTATTCCTGTGTGTCAAGAACCAAGAAGCTTGTCTTGGACTTTATGATTGGGAAAATGTTACTAAAATTGTCGTCTGGAAAACATGCTAATAAAAATGCACCCCTTACATAAAGACTTTGAGGTCTGCTGTTCACAGAAATCCAGTGGGCAGGATGCTTTGGGACGGCAGGGCCCAGCCTGCAGGGTGGGGAGGGGGAGAGAGGAGAGAGTGTCCGAAGGTATCTTGTGACAGGTGAGTCCTGAAGGCAGATTGGGGGCACAGGCAGGGCCGGGCAAGTCGAGATGCAAAGGCCTGAGAATAAAGAAAAGTCAGGGCGAATGGTAGGAAGTTTAGTGACGACCGAAGACAGAGCCGAGGTGAGGCAGGAGGCGGAGGCAGCAGCGCTTGAGAAGAGGCTTGGCCGAAGGACTCAGATTTGATTCTGGGACAGCAGGAGGCTAAAGGAAGGTTTTGTCACAGGATGAAGGGCAGGGGTGCTCTCGGATTGCTGTTTAAAAGAATCATTGTAGGAATCTTGTGTTTGGGGCATTCTTACCAAACATCCTCCCAATGATCCTGAACAAGCAATAGAGGGGCCTGTTTTGAGTTCATCCCAGGGATTCCAGTGGACCCAGAATGTTCCCCTGATGCCAGAGGGAAGAGAGGAAGCCAAGACCCCATTGGTTCCCAGTTTGAGTCTTCTAACCATTAGCTCCAGGCCCCAGTATGTTAGAGCTTGGGGTCTTTGTTGTTTTTGCAGCTAGATGAATATCTTCAAAGAGCAAGGAGGGTGGAAGGAAGGTGCTCCTGGTATGAACAGCAAAGGCTGCAGCTCTGAGGAGGAGCTTCCTGCCGCAGCTCTAATTAGGCTGGTCTCTGCCTTTGGAGTTCTCCTTGTGATCTGCAAGGAGAGCACAGAAGCTTTTACCCCAGAAACCTTTCAAGGTTGTCCATCAAGCTCAGCCAAGGCAGCAGGAACCCGAGGGAGCCAATTGACATCAATCGAGAGCACCCCAGGCTTAAATGTACAGTCGAGCAGTCACCAGCAGGAAACCCACCCCATAGCCAGCCAGCTATGGCACCCAGTGGGAAAGACCCCTGGCCCTAGGAGGACCACTTGCTCTTCCCTAATGTCCTCCTCCCTTTACTCTACTAAAAATGTTGATTTGGACTGCACGCTCTTTTAGATCAGCTCTTAAAAGAGGCAGTGTCTCCAGCAGAGGGAAATTCTTTGTAATCTAAGATCAAGCACTATTACTCGCTATCCTGAGTATGCCTGGGCATGTTAAGGTTTTCATTATGCATTTCATGGGGAAGTCTTATGTGTTGGCCTCAGGCCAGAGAGTACAACAGGTTATTTTGAAGGAATGGCAACAATCAGATTGATTTCTAAAAACCACACATACGCTCTTGAACCCTATTTTGTATTTCCCGTAAAGACCCTGTAAACATACAGGATGGTCGCAGTCATGCTAGTGTGTAAAGAGCTGTGTGATTCGTGTGAAAAGCATTCTGGAGATACGGAGGTTAAAAAAGGGTTAACTCAGCCAGGGGACAGGGGGCGTGAGGGACTAATCCCAGCACTCTGGGAGGCCAAGGTGGGAGGATTGCTTGAGGTCAGGAGTTTAAAAACAGCCTGAGCAAGAGCAAGTGAGTCTCCCCCACCACCTCCCCCTCCACCCACCCCCCACTCCCATCTCTACAAAAAGTAGAAAAATTAGCCCCAAGTGGTGGCGCACGCCTATAGTCTCAGCTACTCGGGAGGCTGAAGCAGGAGGATCACTTGAGCCCCAGGAGTTTGAGGTTGCAGTGAACTATGATGATGCCACTGCACTTTACCCCGGGGTGACAGAGTGAGACTCTGTCTCCAAAAAAAAAAAAAAAAAAAAAAAATTCAAAAGTGCCTGTGGAATCAGCTGAAGTTCCTAGGATGTCTGCTCATCAGAGCCTGTAATGAACTCACTGAGGAGTGTTCTGGACACAAGGACACGCCTGTTAGTGAATCTGGGCAGTCTGCGGGTAGGGGCGATGGTGGAGGTGACACAATTACAGGAGAAGAGAAAAAGGAATTAAAAAGGAGGGAAGATTGGCACTTGCTTGGGGAATGTTTACTTGAAAAATCAATGGCTGCTGTTTGCCCAGCTAGTCCGGCTCTCGGAGACGGGTTGGTAATGATTAAGCGCGGGACCCTGGAGGCTGGGTTCACATCCCAGCTCTGCTGCCACTGCCCCTGGCCTTAGGCAAGTTACCTAACTGCTCCAGGCTCTTTCCTCATCTGTGAAACGGGGATCATGCCACCTGCCCCGTCGGGTTGGTGGAGGACTCCACGGACTGATACGTGTTTAGCGCTGGGAACAGCACGTGGCCCAGCCAGGCGCTCCGAAAGCCGGGGCTCCTTGGTGCTGCAGGAGCCCAGAAACCAACAGAGGTGTGCGCTTCAGATGGCTTCATTAAGATGTAATTTACAGACCCCAAAACTCACTGTGTTAGGGTCCAATTCAGTCGTTTTTTTGTAGCAAATTGATGGAGTTGTGCAACTACCACCACAGTCTAGTTCTGCGATGTTTCCGGCACCCCAGGAAGCTCATTTGTACCTCTTTACAGTCAGTCCTTGTTCCTGCCCCAGCCCCAGAAAACCACTGATCTATGTTCAGTCTTTCTAGATTTGCCTTTTCTGGATATTTCTGGCTTCTTTCACTTGTTTTGAGGCTCATCCATGTTGTACCATGTATGTGCACTTCTTTTTATCGCTGAATGTCGTCCCACAGTACAGCTATACCGCAGTTTGTTTATCCGTCCACC